GGGCTGGATCAAGACCAGCGACATGTACGAACCTTTCTGGACAACGCTCCCGAGGCATTCAAGGTCTGCCGGGAGCTTATCTCCTGCAAATGTCAGAAGGGCTGCATCAAGAGGTGCAAGTGCAAGAAGGCCAGTCTGGAATGCACACCATTGTGTGCTTGCGACGGGGAGTGCTCTCAGAACTAAACTTGCAAACTTAAGATGAAGATTCTGAACTGTTCCAGGCAGTACACAGGTACTGTAAAACAGTGAACTTATCTGCATATTGCATTTAGCAGATTATGTGTTAATTAACATGATAATTAAATGTAGTAGTGTCCCTTGACCACAGAAGTATAACATTGGACTTGCCCAGGATTGATCTGATGAGAGCAAGCCACCATAATTATCACTATCTGGTTCTGTTATTGTTGTTGTATTATCGATGTAATTAGCCGGCCTAATTGTGTTAATAATTTTGTTAATTGGCATCTTAATTGGCGTGGGCAGTGTCCATAAATAGCTATTGACAGACAGAGGAAGAAGGTCAGATAGCATTTCCACAACTTAAATGAATCTAGCCTATTCACAAGGAATGTCAGCATTTGATGCCTGATAATGGGTTTCCTTGTCGCCATTTCATCTGCAATTAGCCTAAATATGTTAATTAATATCAGCAGCATCTCTCAAAATGTGACTAAGAGCTATCTGGCATGTCTTGATTCAAAACATTCAATAAACATTTACTAAAACCTTCAGCAGCAAACTTTATCTAACTTCTGTGTGTCATTTGGGTGTCTGCTGGCGGCCACGGCCGCCAGGGGGCAGTTGGGCGATGGCTCCACATCCAAATTTGTTCATAATATATTGGTCTACCTCTGAGCCAAAATTGGTGTTTTTATCAAAAAATGCACAATAGGTTAACTATAATATAGTATTCTAGAGTTATAACTTTTATTCCACGCAGATTTGTTAGTGCAAGTTTATGCATGGCTAACGTTTATTCATGGTTGGCACAACGTTTATTTTTACAACCTCCAAACAGTACCTAAACTTTCAGTACTGGTTTCTAATAGGTGCATATATATATATGTGCAGCAAACGTTTGTTTCTAACCATATAAAAACGTTAAATTATGGTTAGTGTAACGTTCATGACTAACGTTTGTAAATGGTTACGACAAAGTTTATAAATAACGTTTATTTTCACCACCTCGGAACCTTAGATAAACGTTCAGTACTAGTTTGTAATAGGTGTGCAGCTAACGTTTGTTTCTAACCATATAAAAACGTTAAATGATGGTTAGTGTAGGTTCATAACTAACGTTTGTTCATGGTTACGACAAAGTTTATAAATAACGTTTATTTTCACCACCTCGGAACCCTAGATAAACGTTCAGTACTGGTTTGTAATAGGTGTGCAGATAACGTTTGTTTCTAACCATTTGGCAACTATATAAAAACGTTAAATGATGGCTAGTGCAACGTTTATAGCTAACGTTTGTAGTAAACCATTTCGCAACCATAACAAAACGTTAAATGGTGGTTGACACAACGTTTGTGGCAAACGTTTGTTAAGAACCTATATATAACTTTATTTATAAAGTTTGATGAACGTTCTTAGAAGGTTTAATTCAAACCAAACCAAAATAAAACCAGATCATAACGTTAGGAAATCGTTATGTGTTAGCTGGGATGCATGACTACCAAGCAAAGTAATAATGGTCCTTAGTATAAATAAATGTGTAAGGTAGTCAAACAGAGGGATACAATGACGCAATCAGTCGGTGGCTGCGAATGTACAGGGTGCCTAAACCCTTTTTTTCGTTATAAACTTTTGTTAGCTGTGCGTCTCTATATTTGATACATGTATGAAGGAGCTGAGCTGTGATGCATTTCTATCGGGTACCATGCGTCAACTTCCAAGACCTAATATAAACCAGGTTATTAAAATGCAATTTGTAATTCATGTTGATTAATTATTGCTATTAATTTGATTGCTTGTAGGTATATTTCATAGTGTATTCCTTTGAATTTTAGATACTTGGTGATCAGCAGTCAGCACTGGTGGGACAAACATGCTCTAAGGAAGGGCAAGCTAAGAATACGTATGAAAAATAGTTTATTTTTGCATTTTATATATATTTTAATTACCATTGCATATATGTGTAAACTTTACGATAATTGTTCTGGTTGTTTGAATTCCATTTGATGTGTTTATTGTAATAATTGTATATTATATAAACTGTCACGTAATATCTCATATTCAGGCCTGTTAACAAGGTTGTCATATTGTCATCTGAATGCATCATGGCATATATGGTATTAGCGGCCAGGCAGATTGATTGTTTCTGCTACTTAGGCGGATAGGGTCTATATGTCCCCCAGGGTACTATCGGAGGGTACCCTGGGTACAGGTCGATACATCGGAAAGTACCTCGGGGTACTATACGATATGTCGCTGCGTACCATGCATTGTCCCACCGCACGGTACCCTGACTTTATATGGACATATTTCCGATGTTGTAAAACTAAAATACAAAAGCTAGCTCTTCGTTTAAAAAAAGAAAAAAAAAATATAGTCAAACATAGCATACATTTTTGTTGGATTGCGATGTTTTGAGGTTTCTTCTATGTGATGTGGTAACTTGACAGAGTGTATGTATTACGACATCAGTTGGCTGAAAGTCAGGGTACGGTGGGACAATGCAGGGTACGCAGCGACATATCGTATAGTAATTTGTTAAGAACCTATATATAACTTTATTTATAAAGTTTGATGAACGTTCTTAGAAGGTTTAATTCAAACCAAACCAAAATAAAACCAGATCATAACGTTAGGAAAACGTTATGTGTTAGCTACTACTATCTAATATGCCGGACCGTACCTCGCCTACTCCACTAACGAGTCTAGTGAGTCGCCTACGCCTACTCCCTAACCCTAACCTTAAACCTAACTCTAAGCCTAACCCTAACACTAACCCTAACCCTAACCATATCAGCTAGATAGTTACCAGGGTACGTTCCGGCAGTACCCTGGGAGACATAGACCCTATCAGCGTAACAATGGTCCTTAGTATAAATACATGTGTAAGGTAGTCAAACAGAGGGATACAATGACGCAATCAGTCGCTGGCTGCGAATGCACAGGGTGCCTAAACAGAGAAGCAGAAGCAGATTTTTTTCGTTATAAACTTTTGTTAGCTGTGCGTCTCTATTTGATACATGTATGAAGAAGCTGAGCTGTGATGCATTTCTATCGGGTACCATGCGTTAACTTCCAAGACCTAATATAAACCAGGTTATTAAAATGCAATTTGTAATTCATGTTGATTAATTATTGCTATTAATTTGATTGCTTGTAGGTATATTTCATAGTGTATTCCTTTGAATTTTAGATACTTGGTGATCAGCAGTCAGCACTGGTGGGACAAACATGTTTTAAGGAAGGGCAAGCTAAGAATACGCATGAAAAAGAGTTTATTATTGCATTTTATAAATATTTACCATTGCATATATGTGTAAACTTTACGATAATTGTTCTGGTTGTTTTAATTCCATCTGATGTGTTTATTGTATATTATATAAACTGTCACGTAATATCTCATATTCAGGCCTGTTAACAAGGTTGTCATATTGTCATCTGAATGCATCATGGCATATATGGTATTAGCGGCCAGGCAGATTGATTGTTTCTGCTATTGTTAGGTTGATAGGGTCTACATGTCCCCCAGGGTACTATCGGAGGGTACCCTGGGTACGGGTCGATACATCGGAAAGTACCTCGGAGTACTATACGATATGTCGCTGCGTACCCTGCATTGTCCCACCGCACGGTACCCTGACTTTATATGGACGTATTTCCGATGTTGTAAAACTAAAATACAAAAGCTAGCTCTTCGTTTAAAAAAAGAAAAAAAGAAAAATATAGTCAAACATAGCATACATTTTTGTTGGATTGCGATGTTTTGAGGTTTCTTCTATGTGATGTGGTAACTTGACAGAGTGTATGTATTACGACATCAGTTGGCTGAAAGTCAGGGTACGGTGGGACAATGCAGGGTACGCAGCGACATATCGTATAGTACCCCGAGGTACTTTCCGATATATCGAACCGTACTCAGGGCCCTCAGGGTACCCTCCGATAGTACCCAGTGACGATG